TAGGGCAGGGTGTACAGGGTCTCACTGCATAGATCGGACTTGTAGTGATCCTCCTGTTTACAGCCTCCCAAGTGTGGGGATTACAGGTATGCGCCATCAGGCCCAGGCAACTGAGACTCAATTGCAGTCTCAGTGCACCACACAGGTGGGGCCGGCACAGCAGGCCTGGGGATTGAACCCCTTGCCTCTTGTCTGCCTAAGCAGGTGCTTTAATCGGCATTTGGCTGGCCCTCAACTTTTTTTTTTTTTTTTTTTTTTTTTTTGGATTTGAAGCCATTTTTTTTTTCAAAGTTTTATTGACAAAGAGATAGCAATGAGACAGTTTCAAATCAAATCGGAAGGACAGTTTCAACAAATAATACACTGCATATATTCTTCTTAGTGGTTAATTGCTGTACAAGATGCGGACTTGTGATCCTATTCACAAACACCATTAGAACAAATCATTCTATTCATTAAGAGAATGCAACTATATATCTATCCCAACCTCTTTGAATACAGAGATACAAAATGGACATTCATCGGTATACCCCATTTTTTCTAAGTTACATTATTGAATATTATAGGTGTGTGAACTCAGCAAAATATTCTAAAAGAGTCCAGTAGCCCATAATAGCATTGGGTCTTATATTTAACTGGCAATGTCAGAAATTATTGACCTGAGTCCCCCACAGCTCAACTTAACAGCATGGCTTTATTTTTTATATTTCGACTTCATACTTTTCTACTGGATGGTTAAGACCAAGGTAAAGCAGGACCTATGCAACAAGAGTTGTAGCTTTTTGGTCTTAGAAGGTCAGTGAAATGCCCTCAGGATTTGTCCTGAGATCCTGTACCTCAGATTGTAGAACCTTCATCAGTGCAGCCATGTGGATGAGTCACGGCCAATGCTTGGCCAATGTGCTCTCTGTGAAAGCCTGAGAGAGTGTCTTCTCCCCATGTGACTCTCCTTAGGCACACTCTACGTCATCGATCACTTTCCTCTTTGGCCCCATAATCTTCTTGATCAGAAAATTTGGGACACTACCGAGGTACATGACGTTACAGTACAAGTTCTCATATGTCCTGAGTCTTAATCGACCTTAGAAGGTTAGGCCCTCAACTTTTTCTAAAAAAAAAAAAAAAAAAAAAGGACCAGAGAGATGGTTCAGTAGAATAAGCGCTTGCCTGGCAAGCACAAGGGCCTGAGCTCAATCCACGGTTCCACCAAAAAAAAAAAAAAAAAAAAAAAAAAAAAAAAAGATGAAAGGGGAAAACATTAGAACACTCTCAGCAGAAGAAAATGGCAAAGTCAGATTTATCTTGCCCAACTCCACAACGGGAGAGCACACGGGCTAAGTCACGTGGAGGTCAGCAGAACAGATGGTTTAGGAGTCTGGATTCCTCAGTCAGGACAATATTCCAATATATCTGAAACTACTGAAAAAGAACAAGTAGGACCTTTCAATTGTAAGCAGAGGGAGTGTTAGGAGGAATGTGGAGTCAAGGAAAAAAGCTGAAGTAAGCTGAGGTGAGGTGAAGAGAAAGAATAAGGCGCTTGCAAAGCAAAGCCCCACTACTGTGGACACCACGGGAGTGGACTGGGCAAGCTGAACAGACAGAAGGACAGAGAAGAGAAAGGACTAGGTTTCTCGCTAACTAGAATCCTGAGGTCTTTGGGGGGAATAAGGATGTTTAGTCCAACTCTGACACATTTTTCCTGATAAGAAAAATCAACTTACACTTTAAAAATAACAAACTTTAAACACAACATACTGGAGAATACTATTTTAAATTCTTATAAAGATAGCCAGTGAATACCATTCACTGAAATCACGAACACAGCCATCTCTAAATTAGTTTCCTAAGATAAAGTCCTTTCCTCCTGCTTCACAAGATTTTTCGTTTTTGGTGTTTGTTTGTGTATGTGTGTTGTGTTTTGTTTTGTTTCCTTTTGAGGGGAGGAAAAAAAAAAGTCTGACTAGCTGCAGGTGAACTTGAACTCTCCATGCAGCGCAGGCAGGCCTCCAAGTGACAATCCTCCTCTCTCCCTCCCTTCAGCAGCAGGCTCACATCTACAAGCTGCCCAGAAAGCATTAAAGCCCACTGTTCTGTCACAGGCAGCGCTGCCTGGCTCCACACAACCAATGTGCTGGAGAGTGAGAGAGAAGAGTTACACGACGGGCCCTGCCTCATCACACCACTGGCTTGCCCTCAGCCCAGCGCTTGGTCAGCACTTTCCGCTATGGGCGCCTGTTTTCCAAGTCCACCTCACTCCATGCTGCTGCCCATCTCTATGCTCTACCTGTGCAAAACCCAATTCTACACCTAATTTTCCTCAAAGTCAAATCAACTTAGAGGCTCTACTCTCTGATTTAGCCTTTTACTACTCATTTCCCATTCGTGGTCACTTCTATAATTGGTTTGTTTTTCTAAACACTCCCTTTTCCCTCCCTCCTATCACTGTGGGCAAACAGCTGAGTCACAAGCCTTTCCAAAATCATTAATTGGGAGTTTGGCTCAAGTGTGAGTGCAGGTGCTTGGCATATAAAGGGCCCCAGGTCCAGCGCTCAGGAATGCCCCCCCTAAAAAAACCCTCATTAATTGGCTTTACTTTTCTTCCTCCAACCCCATCATTCTTGGCCCTTCCCTTCCACACATCCACAAATAAAATACAAAAAGGAGGGTCTTCCATCAGTAAAAGTCTGTACACACTGAGCTACAGATACTTCCTTCTGAGTACTCAATTCACGTCTCCGAGTATGAGAGCATACCAGCAGAAATGCCTCTTTCCCCTAACCATGACAGTTTACCTCTGTACTCAACTTCTTACTCCAGTTGAAAATACATACAATTCATACACAGCAGCAGATATTCCCTGTGTAATTTCCCACAGTTTGATGGATATGATACTTGGGCAGTAGCAACAGTACCAAACGTTAGGAGACTTTGACAAGACTGAATTTCTGAAGATATAGAGGCATGCTATAGTTCTCAACAACACATGGTGATGCACCCTCTGTGTAAAAGGCATTCAATCCATTGAACTGAATTGTAAAACAAGATAAAAGACCACTCAACTATGCTTCATAAAGTGAAGCACAGGACTGCAGGCATAGTTCAGTGGTGGAGCACTTGCCTTCCATGTGCAAGACTCTTGGAGGAAGGAAGAGAGGGAAGGAAGGTAGGAGAGAGACGAGAGAGGAGAGAGGGGGAGGGGGAAGAGAGAGAAGGAGAGGGAGAAGGAGAGGGAGAAGGAGAAGGAGGAGAGGGAGAGGGAGAGAGGGAAGGAGAAGGAGAAGAAGAAAGAGAAGAGAAGGAGAGGGAGAAGGAGAGGGAGAAGGAGAAGGAGGAGAGGGAGAGGGAGAGAGGGAGAGGAGAGAGGGAGAGGGAAAGGGAGAGGGAGAGAGGGAGAGGGAGAGGGAGAGAGAGGGAGGGAGAGAGAGAAGAGAAGGAGGAGGAGGAGGAAGAGGAGGAAGAGGAGAAAGAGGAAGAGGAGAAAGACAAGCACTAGCTCTGTGCCTTTGGGGCAGTGAGATTCTTGGGAGAATGTAGCTCCTAACGGGTAAAAAACATTTATCTTCCTTTCTACCAACTCCATTAAATCACACTCAAACATGAGTTTGGCGGTGTAGCTCAGTAGCAGAGCACGGGTGAGCATGCATGAAGGTCCTGTTTTCGATCCAATAAATACAGGATGCTCATATATGATTATATACATATTGAAGACTGGGCTTGCAGCTCATCTCTTAAAAAGAAAAAAATCCCTCACCACACTCAGTCAGCTTAAATACAAACTGAGAAGCCATTGACAGAGCAAAAGACAGAAGATCCAGGATCAATTATCATTCTACATTCTAGTTACCTCTGGAAAGTCAAAACCTTGCTGAACAGGTAAGCAGAATTATCCTCCAACTTTTAAGTGTGTCAAGGTATGTTGAACTATATTACACTGACAAAATAAGTGAATCAAATTATGTTAAATAGTATGGTTATTTAAAGCCAGATGTGGGAGTGAATGCCTTTAATCCAAGTGCTGGGGAGCCTGAGGCAGGATGATGGAGGCTTCCAGGCCAGCCTGGGGTACACAACCAACTTGGGACCAGCTTGAGCTAGAGAGATCCTCCTGTCTCAAAAAAAAAAAAAAAAAAAGTGCTAAGGAAGAACCTGGGGCCTCAGGCACAGTAAACACACTCTACCCTTGCACTCCATCAACAGCAAGCACTAGGACAGAGTGTTCAGACCAACATTCTTAAGCTAACTACCCGGTTCTAACAACCGACCCACCCCCATGTAGTGTGAATTAGGAAATGTGTCAGTAGATTATACTACATGAAATTTCTTCCAACCCTAAATCTCCCTGATTTTCTTTCTAGGAATAAACTCGGGGTGATAGAAGCATCAAAAAATCTAACTCTACTCAATCTGCTGCTGGATTCCAAGCTGAGCCAAAGAAAATGTGCTGCAGTTACCACGTAACAGAAGTAGTTCGCAAAAATGTTCAGAGCACGAGGAGGAAAACCCCGGGTGCTCAGCACACAGGACCTCGCACCTACTGTTAAGTTAAAATGACCTGAAGTGGAGGTAGCACCAGCCTGCAAGCTTTGTTTCAGGATTTGCGAAACCTGAGTTTGCCGGTCCTTTCTTTTTCTTTGTCCCTAACTAGTCCTGCCCGGGTCAGAAGTCGCCTCTCTTATCAGCAGGAAAGCAAGTCGGCCTAGAGTCTCTGGCCGGAGCACTCCTCCCCCTCCGAACAGGAATAACGCGAGTTCTGGGGCTTCTCCGCTGTCCCTCTATAAAGGGCCTAAAAGCAGGCGAGGCTGTCCCAAAATCGTACCCGCCTCTCTCGGGAAGTGTGCCAAGTTCCCCGGGTGCGGGAAGGCGGGCAGACAGTGACAGTCGCCGCAGACAGGCAGGCAGGTGCGCACTTCGGGTCGCACGTCCTCACCGAAGGGGAGCTGCAGGACCGCGCCCCAGAGAACCCGGGGTGCAGGGAGGGGCCCGGGCCGCCGCTAACTCACCCACAGGCTGCTGAAGTAGTCCAGCCCGCGGCAGATGAGCACGCCCGCGTGCGCCAGCAGCACCTGCACGCCCAGGTAGCTGCCCAGGCAGTAGAGGCCGTAGAGCAGCGGGCCGCCCGCGCCCAGGAACAGCAGCAAGCGGCGGCGGCGCAGCGCCTGCTCGCCCAGGGCCTCTACGCCGTAGTCGGCGAAGCACAGCGGCAGCAGCAGCGCGGCCAGGACGATGGGCGTGTGCGCGCGGTGCAGCCGCTGGAGCCAGTGGCGGCCCAGGCGCGTCAGCGAGCTCTTGAAAGGGTGCAAGAAGGTACCGCACAGCACGGCCCACAGCAGCGGCCGCAGGAAGGCCTCGAGGATGAAGTAGACCAGCACGGCGGCGCCGCAGCACAGACACACAAACAGCACGGCCCCCGTGTTGTAGAAAGCCTGTTTGATGGGCTTGTCGAAACGCAGCGCAAGCGCCGCTGCCCGCGGAGTCTCCCCGCTACTCGGCCCCGCCGCGCGAGAGGCTCGGGGCTCCTGCCGAGGAGAGCCCCGCGAGCTAGGAACCTCCGAAGGGCCCCCGCGGGCGGCCATCGCGCCTCTGCTGCCGCCGAGAGGCGGTCCTGCAAACCAGCTAGGAGTACCGAAGAGGCGGGCGGCGCCGCGCAGCCTTGTGGGAGTCGTAGTTCCAAACTGGCTGCCAAGCACGTGCGAGACTCTCAGAAAACTACCACTCCCAGGGGGCTCAGCGGGGGCTCCTCCGACCCCCTATGCCCATTGGTCCCCGCAGGGTATTTAGCAAAAAGTTTTTGAAGCTGACAGCAGAAAAAGTTCCTTTCCCTTGTTGGCTGAAGTCAGTTTCTCTTGAAGTGGGATCCCCCAAAGACAGAAAACCAAGGCTGCACATTAGAATTCTGTGGGGAGTACTTACTTCAAAAAAAAAAAATCAATACCCGGATTCTACAGTACTTTACTGATTCATTGATTCATTTAATAAACACTTTTAAAGTCTTCGAGGGCCAGGGATGTAACTCAGAGTCACAACGCCTGCCAGGCAAGCGCAAGGGCCTGAGTTCTATTTGCGGTATCAAAAAAAGAAGGAAAGACTTCGTTCCAGTGTATCTGACAGAATTTTAACTAGCGCTCAAGTAGTGCCTGTTGTACATGCCTCGCTTCTATTAACTCATTTCATCCTCAAAACCCTACGAGTGTGTTATTAACCTCATTGCACAAACAGGAAAACCGAGGCAAGGGACGCTGAGCACCTGGCCAAGGTCACACTGCGACTAAGTGTCAGGGGCAGGATTCACAGGTAGGACCCTATGTCCCCTCCACCTTGTTGGGATGAAGATGGTAGCTCTTGCCAGAGTCGCTGCGAAAAAACGAGTGCAGCGTACTTCTGTTTAGCAGTTGGAAAGTTCCTAAGATTCAAGCCTACTACCCCAAAATATCCGAAACATTTTTATTTTAAAATATTGAGAAAAGCCTTTACTGAGCACTCAATATATGGGTGTTGAAACCCTATATGTTATCCCTTTCTGTTTTCAACAAGTCTTTATGTTAATTTCAAGATAAATTTGTTTCTCTTTTAAATAAGGAAGGTTTCAGATTAAAAAAAAAAAAAACTCTTGCTTATTGAGTCTTGGTGACAAAGACAAGTAATTCCTTTCCATCTCGGTTATAAGTTTCAGGTCACAGCTTTTCAGGTGATCTTTGAAGTTGACTGAGTAAATGTTTTGCTTCCTTTGTTTCTAGATTTTGCTTTGCGGCTTACCCATTTTGTTCAGGCCTTCGAGATCATGATTCTAAATTATGGGCAGAAAAAAATAAATTATGGGCAGTGTTCATTTTCACTAGTTTAAGCTTCTATTTATATTATGTGGCTTCAGTCTCTATCCCAAAACGTCCTCATTTTTCTAAGGGAGCCCAAAGGGAGTTCCTCGAATGTGCTCAGAGACAGGAGGCAGCCATCAACCATCCGTGTCACCTGTTGCCCAACACAGCTCCACTGAGTCTCATAATCATCCTAGATTGCTAGTGCCTGTATCTGTCTCCAGACTTCTAATCTTCCACGTGCTAAAGCTGAGCTGAGTTTCCTTTAGAGCTGAGAAAGAGGTCCTCATCCCTGACTTGCCAAACCTGTGCCCTTTTGTTAACCACACCCCAACTCAGGTCACTTGTGCCCAACATATTCTACTTCCTTGTCATGAATAGTTCCTACCATCTCTGTTCCTTGGTCCTCTAACAGCAGGGGCTCAAAGCCATACAAATGGCCAGTGAAGGATCAAAAATCTAATAGGTTTTTTTCAGGTGCCTGGCACAGCAAAGAAACAGGCAGAAGGAAAAAGGGAAAGGGGCTTTATTATCTTGGAGGACACAGAGAATTTGGGGGAGATAAGGAATTCTCTGGAGTTAAATAAAGGGAGGCTGAAGCTTTTATGGCTTTTTTCTAGGAGTGGAGTTTGAAGGGGAAGTTTAGATATACCTGACAAACTGATTGGGGGCCCTCCCTGAACTGGCAGGAAGGGTGAAAGGAAATTGCACCCTGGACTAAGTTGGAGAAGAAGGGGGAGGCAGTCTTGGGAAGATGGGCTTTTGTTTTAAGGGCATTAGCCATGTTAGATCACCACCATAATGATTTCAGCAATTCATACTACAATTCATAATGATTCAGCAATTCAAATCAAACCACTACTTTTGCCCTTCATCCAAAAACTCTCTCCCTCGAGGTACAAGCAGAAAGTCCCCATATTATGTAACAAAAGCTTTTTCCAGGGGATGCACACAAACAGGACAGGGCAAGGAAAGATAGTTAATGTTAACTAAACTCTGTTGGGGGCACTCATTTAGCAAGTCAAAGTATCCTAACATGGTACTATGATTCCAAGATCCAAAAAACTAAAACTGGTGAATATTTCAAAATTGCTTTAATGGCTAATGTAATAGCATGGCCAAGTGTCAGTTTCTAGTCAGGAATTGAACTCTATCAGAGATGAAGGCCAGAGCACTAGAAACTAACTAGAAGAGCATTCGTATGACCTAACACATCCAGTTTCCCATAGGGCTTTGCTCACCCCTCCTGTCACTGAACTCTTCACACTGCTGTTGAAGTCAGTGGTTTTTGTATGTGTTCCCTGCTGAGCTCCTAGAGAGCATAGACTGCTTTGCTTCATTTCTGTGTCCCCAGAACATGACACGGCACAGGACACACATAATTAATTTCTTCTTTTGTTTTGTTTTGTTTTTCCGATACCAGGGATCAAACTCAGAACCTTGTGCTTGCCAGGCAGGCACGTATGCCACTGCACTATCTCCCAAGCTAATTTCTCCCTTGATCTTTATAATTTCCTTCCTTGTACTAGCTTTGGATTTGGATTGTTTGTGTTTCTCTAGGATGCTCAGGGGTATCTTTAGAATATTTATCTGGACTTACTCTGTTTTTCTGATGTGGGCATTCACAGGTGTAAGTTCCCCTCCTCGGGCCGCTTTCATCATATCCTCAGTATCATCTGTTTTCCTGGTTGTCCCAGGCTAGGGTAGGAACCCTGTTCTAAATTTATACTGTACCTGGTTTATACTGTACCTGGGCATTCACCACTAAGTAGTGTCATGGTATTTATTAAAGGGATGCATGCCTGCTTCCCAAGCAGGGTGTGAGCCCACTGAGGGCAGAAATCTAGAGCAATTCTTCTCAGAATCCTCTGTATGTAATTGTCTAGGGCAAGGATTGATGGCTAAGAATCCTCAATAAATAATTATTAAATGAATGAATGAGTAGTTAAGGCTTCCGGATGCAGGTGACTTTCCCATTCAGTCAATGTCATTTCAGTTCTCTTACAGTTTATTTCCTTTTCCTAATACTTGGACTGAGCCCTAAGAAGTCTCTAAGTTTAATAGAAGCTGGGGATACATTTTATCAGTAGGCTACCCACTGATGATACCACAGAATAAGTGTCACAGGGAACAACTGGAATAGCATATAAGGGCAAAATGTTTGGAGGCTTGTGGCCATGCCTGTAATATACAATATAGTAGTGCCTAATTGTTTTTATAGCATCCCATTCCAAGAGCTTTGCAACCTAGTTTCAGTAGAACCAGCAGCTCAGCCTCTACAGTCTGCAGCTTCTAATGATCTACAAAGCTCTACAACACTCTACTCTTCTCAACATATACGACAACAGGATTTTGTTGTCAATATGGTTCTTGACTGAAATCCTGAGAGCTACCCATGTGCAATTAACTAGCTGATAACACCTGAAAAAGGATTAGGTGGATGCTCTAAGCATGAGTTTGCTTTGTACGCTGCTTCTTTGCGATGATCTTTGCCTGACTGCAACAACACAACTTTTCTCTTTGTCACACAACCTATGCTGTCAACTTCTCCAGGGTCTAGAGATTCAGGGAAAACTGAGGGAGACATAACGAGTGAAAAGACTGAAACAAGGAAAAGAGAAAATGCACCACAGAAAAAGGAATTAAGGAATTATAAACTAATTTTAATTATATCAACAGGAAGAATTCCAAACTATGTTGAGAATCTATATTCTAAAGTTTAAATCTAGTTAATATATTCTGACTACAACATAATTCTCTTGAGATAAAAGTAGTTATGATGGTAAATGGACAAAACAATCATTTAGGTAGCATTTAGGAATATTGCTATAATTATTTTACATAAATAGAAATCCATGTCTTTATTAGTAATGTACCACACACCTTAGAGTAAAAATTCACATAGACAGGATTATAAATATACATTTATATATAATCTTAAAATCAATCACAATTGAACATTAAGTACACAATTATTATAAAACAAATATAACCCATTAATATCTATTTAAAGGCATAGTTCTTAGAAAATACTATTGTATAGACAGTCTCAAAAAAGTATAATACTCCTGGAGCCAGAGTGTTCCAGCATATCAACACGTCAGTAGGAATAAGGCATGTGGGGAGCTGTGTTAACTTTTCCATGTGATCAGGACATTCCATGTGACCAAACAGCAACGACTCTAGTGACCTGGGTGAATGCCACCCACCAAGCACCCCGAAACCTTAGAGAATTGATTACTCTCCAGAAGAATCAAACTGAATGGTTATTCACACAATAGAACAGAGTAGAAGAAAACTGAAAACATTCACTAATCATCAGTGTGTTTTCACTAAAAGACTGAAAAAGCCTAATGCATCACATAAATTTTCAGTTGCTAGATATATTTAAGATCACACACACTAGCTACCATTTTCAAGAAAGGAAAATTATATGCAGGTCATTTGTTAAACATAAAGGCAAAGAAGAACAATTTGAAGGTAAATATAGATTCCATTAACATGCCAATTTCCTGGCCAATATTAGCCATGACTTCTGAACAGTACAGAAAACTCAGATTCAAGGATGACACTTTATATAGTTTTCATGGTTTTTTTTTTTTTTTTTTTTTTTTGGACAAGAGTTTTGCTATGTAGTTCAGACTGGCCTTGAACTCACTGTTTGGCCCAGGCTGCCCGTGAAGTCTTGGCAACCCTCCAGATCCCCAAGTGTGGATTACAAGTGTGCGCCACCATGCCAGCACTTTATATGTTCTTAACAATTCACATGATGTTCAACAGAGGAGGCAAGGCTCAACTAAAGGTGCAGGAATCCCCATGTACAGACTAAGTTATATAAACCCAAGGGCGTGTTCCCCTGCAATATACATGATGTTTTATCTCTTGGGTTTTTAAGTGTTTAAGAAATAAAAAAAAAGAAACAATCCTGCCAAAGACCTTAAAATGCTGGGGTGTGTATATATACACATTTATGTATAAACATATACCCCATCATGTATGTACAAATATATATACATAAACACTGGGAATAATCAAACTGAACAAAATCAGTTCCATTTACAGAATAAGGATATACAAATATATACAACGACAAAGTCTATACACCTCAGCATTTGGCCTAGCGCACTGGTCCCCCACCACTGGATTGTACATACCAAGCGTAAAATGCCCATGGGGGTGGCATCTTTTGATAAATTTCTACATGGAGAAAACTACTCTGACACATCAACATTCTCACCATGAAGGGCAGTACAGCAATAAAACTGTTCACAAATGCCACAACTCAGGCTTATCAGTTCTGCACCCTACTGTCACCCCTTTGGCATCAACTCTGGAAAATACCTTAGACTAGAAGTGCATGGGAATGGCATTGTGCCACTTATTTATAATAATAAATCAATTATGTGTATTATAGATACAAAGTATTTATGAACTCAGGTATTTTTACAATTGGCCAAGAGTAAGTTACTGGCAGTATGATTTACAGCTTATTGTGATATACCCATGTGCCCCTGACAGAGTAAGTGTGGGAAAACCACAGGTTCAGGAGCCAAATGCAGCCTACTTCCTGTCATTGTTCAGTCTTCAAGGCAAGGATGGGTTTTCTTTTTTTTCTTTTTCTTTGTTTAGGGGTGGGGGTGGGGTTTGAGACAGGGTCTCACTATATAGTGCAGGCTGGCCTTGAACTCACTTATGTAGCCCAGGCTGGCCTCAAACTCACAGTCATCTTCTTGCCTCAGCCTCCTGAGTTCTGGGATTACAGGCATGTACCTAACGCCCAGTTAGGTTTTGCAATTTTAAAATGACTCTTAAAAATCAAACTGCAAATATCATTTCTGATACATGAAATTCAAATTCAGGGTCAATTAGCTTTATTGGAATATAGCCATGCTCATTCATTTATGTCCTGTCTACAGCAGAGTGGAACACCTGAGAGACACAGAGCACAAAGCCAAAGTATTTACAATCTGGCTCTTTACAGAGAAAGTTGATCAACCCCTGGGCTTGAGCTAAGAATGACACACAACCTCAGTGGTAACTTCTCTGAAGACAAAATCCTGAATATAAAGAGTAAACTTATTGAGAGAAATAGTAGTCAATAACATCTGGATTAGAAATTCATCCTTGATTACAAAAAAAAAAAGAAAGAAATTCATCCTTGAGATGTCCAAACTTTCTAATTTCTTTAATGACAAACACCAGCCCAATATAATGAAATATAGCTCCTACTGTTTGCCTGAAACCATGTTTACAAATCTGCCTTCAAGACTAGCATGGACTACACAGGGAATTGGGTTTCAGGTAAGAAGATGAACCAAAATTTTCAGCAAGTCACCTTCAAGGGAGACAATACATTCTTCTATTCAATCTGCATATTATTTTTAAAAACCTGATGGAAAGCACTAGAACGACTAATAAATTAATTAAAATGTTTTTAAGCAGAAAAGAAAGTTGGTAGAAAGTAAAATATTTCCCTTTCCCCAAATATAAAAACTCCTCTTACTCATGATAAATTACTAAAGGGGAGAAAAAGGCACACAAATAATTTGAATAAGGATAGTAGGGCCCACTTAATAAAAATTTTAATGAATTTGCAAGAAGATGCATGAATGTGTAGGAAATCATGTTACCTTCCTACAGCTTTGCTGCACTGGATTTATTGAGTGGTCTCTAACATCCTCACCAGTCCTGATAACTTATGTCAAATGACTAGCCTCAGTTCATTCACCTGTGAAATTATATTAATAGAATCATCCTGTGGTTGTGAGAATTACATGAATTCATCCATGGGATGTGCTTAGGGCAGCACTGAACACATCTAACTGGCGTTATTATCATTATCATTCTAGTCACACGCTTTACAAAAACACTGGTGGAGCCACTCGCCTAATAAAATGGGAGTACAGTAGTAAAGTTAAAAAGTTCTTTTGTACTAGGAAAAAAATGAATGAAGTCAAACTTCACAGACTTTTAGCTTCAGTGTGTCTATGAATTGATGGTTCTCCGAGATGGCATCAACTGCTATTCCATACTCCTGTTCTGTGTATTTCTGCACAATGATTGTCGTCTTAAAATGTCCACTAATGCTCACCGTAGGGCAAAATGGCCTTGGTACTAATGATTTCCCATTTGTTTCAAAAGACAAAGTTCAGTGTTTGGTAAAAGACAAGTTTATGGATTGATCACAGGTGGAAAAAGATAAAAACTAGCTAGTCTGACAACTTCTACGAAATACAGGTCTTCTGAGCCAGACAATCTTGCCATGATGATATATATTCATTTATTTCATATATATTTACTTTTTTCACAAATATTTTCTGAGCACCTACTGTGGAGTAGGCCTGCTATAGAGATGAGCAACAAGAAATGGTCCCTGTACTGAGGAGTTAGTAGGAAGGACAAAGCCAGCAATTAATATGAGTGCGGTAAATATTCTAACGAGGAATCCCAGTAAGCTCTGGGTGCTCTGGGCAGGGATCCAAAGCTACCTAGTCCAGGGAACTGGAGGACAAAATAAGGAAGCTACGACCTGAAAGAGGCATCACAATTTATCACACACAGAAGGCAGAGAATGTCTGAACACGTGCAGAGTTGAGAGGCAGCAGGTCTGGGGCTCGGGTGGAGCCAGCAGGGAAATGCTTCCCTGGCATGCACGTGCGCAAGGTGCCAGGTGTAACACCCAGCAATGAAAACAAGACACAACATCTGCAGTATTGAGAGCCCTTCCGTCCTGCTGGGGTATGGCGAAGGGGAAGAAGGGACAATACTGGAGCTCAGCAAATCATTTGCGTTGTACTAAGGGGAAAGACAAGTCACTGAGAGTTCCAAGCATGAATATGCAAAACTGGTAAAGTCCGATTAGTGAACTAAGTAGTGTGATTGAAATGTAAGCAAAAGGAAACCCCACTCATGCAGTCCTTCCCTTCTGGCTAGGAGTAGAAGTCTCTCCTTTGTTTTAACCCCTGTACAGCTCAACTATTGAGAGTAAAACATTTGAGTGCCTGTACACTCAATATCCTCCCTCCCAGCCAGTCACTAAGAAGACGCTACACGGCCACGCTCAGCCGTGACCAGAGAGCTTAGTGCAGAGCAGTGGCAGTCAAGTGGAACTGTGGACTTGAACCTTGAGTCTGCAGCCCTCCCCAGGTCCCCTGCTCACTCCACATCATTTCTTCTCTCTCCATCTGTATTTCTCCAACAACCCTTGGAAGCACATGGCAACTGTGTAGTGTCATTGAACATAACAGTTTTCCTTATTCGGTTCAGACCCAGAAATATGTGAAAGGTTTACTCACAGAGAGACTTTCACCTCTGACGTGAATATTGGAGATGGCTTTAGAAATCACAGGCTCTGGTGTTGCTTCATCACAAAGCTGAAGCTAACAACTGGGCCATGTCAGCGAACACTAGAACACCACAAAGGAAATGTCTTGCAGCACAACTGTGCTTGGGGACACCTCTCCTCTCCTGGGCTGTTAGTACAGATGTGTGGGGCAAAGAAACATTTGGGATCCTTGGAAAAGAGGAAACACATTACATCTAGGCATCATCATAAATTATACTGGCTGCAGGTCTTATTTACAAGCTGAAACATTTTGAATTAAAACTCCCGGGGAAGTGCCGGAGAGATAACTCAGCAGGCTAAGAACCTGCTTAGGCAAGCACAGGGACCAGGGTTCAATCCCCAGCACCCCATGCCATGCTGGCCCCACGCCCAGGGAGCACTGGGCTGGCCACTAAGACCAGGCATGGTGATGTGTCCTGTAATCCCAGTGCTGAGGAGGCTGAAAACAGGAGGGTCACTACAAGTCTGAGCTGCATAGTGAGGCCCTGTATCAAATACATTCAAAATAAAACAAAAAAAATCCAGCAGAATTCACTTTTTAGGCCATTTTCCCATTTTCTAATTAAAAAACAAAAACATCTCATGTTAAATTTTTTCTTGCTCCAAATCTCTACAATCTGCAAAATGTTGCTGTTATTAAAATGCTTTAAATTTTTGTTAAGATAATTTGTCTGTTACAACACATACTTAATGTATGCTGACTTTGACAACATTTTTTTTTTTTTTCCAGAACCAGGGATTGAACTCAGGCCCTTGTGCTTGCCAGGGAAGCACTTATTCTACTGAGCCATCTCCCCAGCCCCTGACAACAGAATTGTCGCTAATCATATATGAATACCCTAGTAGATATAATACAGTAGTAGAACAGCCTCAATTCTATTAAGAATTCCCATAGTTCTATCATTAAGATCATTTTACATTCTCAGGAATGCACACAATTCTGTTTCTAACTTTCCCAAACAGCTATAAAACATATTTTCTCATAGTTACGCACTAATTTAGAAGAACTTTAATCAATACAACCCATTTTCACATTATTGTACTCTCTCCTGTTTCCCCCATCAACTGTGGAAAAATCCCAAAGCATTTGTGTCCTACAGGAATTGTTCAAAAAGCTGCCTGTGAAGTGACCTTCAGGGAGGCTGTCCCTAGTAACACTCAAAGTAACTGTCTTGGGCTGTAGCACGGACACTAAAGACCGTTCAGAGACTTGATTTCTTTTCCTAGCTTTCTATCTGCCTTGCTATGTGGCTGACATGACAGGAAGGTCATAGAAAGGCAGCCTCTCTGGATCTGGAGTCTGATCAGGAAGATGGTAATCATACCATCTTCCACACAGAGACACTGTAAAGCTCAAATTAAAACAAAAACATTTGAAAGTGCTTACAAACTTTAAAGTACTTCCCTAAAGAAAGATCAATATTAAATTTCCTCTTTAACTAGAAAAAAAAGCTGGTTTTTTTTCTTCTAGAAACCTAAAATCATGAATTGTTTTTTTAACAACTTATCAGAAGCTAAAGTTATCCCAGTTATTCTTGAAAACTGTATTTATAGTAAAGGCTTTCCAATCTGTTGACCTTGAAGATCAAGGGGTTCCCATCAATAAGTAGAAGGTCAAAGCAACAATGAGGAGCAAGCAAAACGGAGATGAGAAGGTCTGATAGGCAGCTGATGGCATAAAAATGTCTTCATACTTGTAAATACTGACAACACGCTCGGAAGCTGGTGGCGAGTCTATATCATGTCGAGTGATAGAGCCTTTAAGAAAGCGAGATAGAAGAAGAGAGAGCAGTTGGAAAAAATACACTTAAAACAGCATTCAAGCAAACAGAAAAACTAAAGAAAAGTGTTGAGTGTTGAACACATCTATAGTGATTGCAAAGATCTGGAATCAGGTATTAGTTAGCAGAATCTGCTATCATTGTGCATATAATGAAGAACAAAGAAATTAGCTAGTTTCATCCAAACAGAGTGGTTTTCATTAATCTGCAACCCCACCCAACATCAGCACGCTATTTGTTTTTCCATGGCATCCTAGTTTTAAGACATCTACTTAGGGTTGAACAAATTCCTACTTGTAATGTGTCTAGTGAGTTTCAGATTCTTAATTCCACAAGGATAAGATATATTTTGATTTTTTAAAAATTTTTTATTTCGGGCCAGGGAGATGGCTCAGTAGGATAAGCACTTGAGGATAAGCACTTGACTGGCAAACGCAAGGATCTGAGTTCAATCCCTGGTTCCGCAAAAAAAAAAAAAAAAAAAAAAAAAAATTATTTCAAGTAGCAAATTCTACATTTTTTTCTACTCGAATTTTTCTTTTTCACACGCAGCATCAGCAACTCCCATTGGCATTAGCAGCTCCCTTATAAATGGAAGCCTCCCTCACAGTCTGTGGGACATAAGGAAGTAGTTTATCCCAGCAAGACCAGAGGGGCTGGGTCCACATTTCTGTCTGGTGGAGTGGAGATAAATGACACAGAAAGTAGTATAACTAAGAAATCAAATAAATCTTTGGTTAAGGAACTTTTTTTGGGGGGGGACCTGGTTACAAATAGAAAGGTTATGTGTAAAAGACAGTTAAGGGTTCAGTAGTAGAGGCTTGCCAAAAATATGTATGGCCCTGAGTTTGCTCAAAGGACCCCCATCAAATTTTAAAAAAGAATAAAGAAATAAAAGGTAGTTAATAAGCAGGGCATGGCAGGGTGCATCTGTGGTCCCCGCTACTGAGAAGGCTAAGCTGAGAGGATCCCTTGAGTACTGGAGTCTGAGGCCAACATGAGCAAAATCACAAGCTCATCTCCATGCATCTCTAAAAGGATGCATAATAAGCAAAAGTTTATTAGGAGCACCTGACCTCTTAAAAAGCCATATGAAACTTCTAGGAAAATGAGGTTGTGAATTCAGTGCAAGGCCCTCATTATGGTTAGGGCTCAGAGTAGGGGGGTGTGTGTGTGTGTGTGTGTGTGTGTGTGTTACTTGGAATTGAACACAGGGCCATCACACTGAGCTATATCCACAGCTCTTGTTATACTTAATTTTGATACAAGGGCTCACTAAGTTGCTCAGGCCAGGCTCAAGCTTATAGTCCTCCTGCCTCAGTCTCCCATGGTGAGACTACAAGCATATGCCATCATGCCTGACTACAGTAGGGGTTTTAAAGGTAATTTCTGGTGGAAAAGCCCTGCCAAACTTCCCATGTAAAGTTTCAGCTCTGTGAGCACACATTCCTCAGGATGGTACAGAGATTCTTCTCCCCAGGGCCCTCTCATCCTACCTCCCTCACCTCCCTGGCCATCTACATGAGCTCCCAGACCTGACCACACAAGCTCTATGAGGAAAATCCAGTCTTGAACTCACAAAGTTTGTCCCCACAAAGAGACCGTTAGAGAATGGTTAAATTTAGCCAGTAGACAGGTGCTAGAAGGGTACTCAGGAAACAAGAAAAACACAAGCCTGGACCCTGGGTAGGAGCTTTTGTGTATGGAAATGGGAGAAAACCAAAGTCTTGAGAAAACTTCTCAGATAAGGCCAGACGTAACTGGATAGGACTTTAGACGTGAGGATAGGAGGTGATGTACATAAGATGATCTTCTGAAATGCAGTTGTCCACTTTATCATTGAGTTTACCTTTTTATTTGTTTATTTGGTACAGTGTCTCACTATGCAATTCAGAGTGGTAGTGATCCTCCTTTCTCGGCCTCCCCAGCACTGGGATTGCAAGGGCCAGCATGGCATGTAGTACCAGGGAATGAACCTGGGTCCTTGTGCTTGCTGGGCAGGCACTTAGACCTCCAAGCTGTCTCCCCAGCCCGAGTCTACCTTTAGTGGTTTCACTTTTCCACAGTCAGTCAGGGCCCAAAAATACAGTACAGAGCAATATATATTGTGAGAGAGAAAACGAAAGCTCACATTTATGCTAACTCATCATATCATTATTATTTGTCCTATTCTTAGTTATTGTTGTTAATTTTTTTTTCTTTTTTCTTTCTTCTTTTGGCAAAACTGCAGATTTAACTCAGGCCCTTATGCTTGCCAGCCAAGCACTTATTTTACTGAGCTATCTACCTGGTCCCTAATTTCTTATAAATTGTGTACAGGAAAAAAAAATAATATACAGAGAGTTTCAGGCATCTACTGGGGTCTTAGAACACATTCCATACAAATAACTATGGGCTGTTGTACAGCACTTTCTGATCTATAAAGCAATTTCAAATACTTGTTTTCATTTAATCCTTTCAATAGTCTTATGAAGTAGACTATTATCCCCACTTTAAATATATGGAAATGAAGTTCAGATTTTAGATAGTAGGGTGAATATTAGATAGCTATGAAGGGCAAGAACTCGTACTCAAACTTTGGTTTTTAAGATTTCAAATTTCAGAACTTAAATAAGTTCTTTTCTGTGGGCTAATTTATTTATATAATTTATTTCCCTGAACGCAGAAAGTTACCTGAAGGTATCTTTGCAAGTCCCCTGATTAATCAGCAAATGAGAAAGGTGTCCAAAATCTGGAGGTGTCCATTATGCAATCTCCACACCAATCAATGAAAACAGATGGAACAAGAAACCCACCAAAAACTGCGATCAGATGAAGTGACAAAGAGCTGCTAAGGACATAGCCAAGGCAGAGGCAATTAGCAGGATGCAGGGTGCGTTTCTTGGTTTCCTGCTTAAGAATTGCAAGCCAAACTCACTTCTTGGTCAGGCTACTCGGCTACTCAGCAAGGAGGAATGCTCAAGATGGTGTAACTTGATTTTATCTAAAAGGTCTCCCGATGTTCCTGAGTCTTGGCTGGAGAAATGCCAGAGCACCTCACCTCCCAGGTGAGGTCATCCACAGGTCAGCGAGGAACTTACTAGAAATACACAGTTCAGCCCATCCCCACCCCAGGCCGGCAGAAGACCAAGGTAACAATACAGCCGGTGAATCGCTCATGCATATTAATGTTGGAGGGGTAAAGGGAGAGACTTGTAGAATAATCTGGAGGGTGCATGACCACCAGAATAGTCCTAAAGAGAGCATTGATAACATACTTGCTGCAAGCTCCAGAGAAACATTTCCCTGTTCAGTGATTTTCTGTTTGAGGACTATTAAGGGGTTAAGAGTATTTCCTGATTTTGGAGTCAAACAGACTTAGGACTGAATTTTAGTTCTCCCCTTAATTGGTTGTATAGCTCTGAACAAGTTCCTTAATGTCTCTGAGAGGAAGATCACAGCATCTAGATCTCTTGCAGGCTGTGGTAAGGAGTAAGTGGAAACATGGTGCAAATGGAACACCCCACGCCCCACAGAGCAAATACCTGTTTCATCAAGCACATAGCTCATTGCGTGCTACCTTGTGACACTCTAGCTTTGCTCGTGGGTGCTACCTGTCCTCGGGTACAAGCTCGTTATAATCTTCTGTCGAAAGGAGGCATAACTCTTTTTGCTGTGTGTAGGGTCTCACTACACAGCCCACAGTAGTGATCCTCCTGATTTCTGCCTCCTAAGTTCTGGGATTACAGGCGTGCGCCACCATGCCTGGACTCCATCACTGGCTCAGCGCACACGAGGGTGGGGCCAGCATGGCATGTGGAGCCAGGGATCGAACACTGGCCCCTGAGCTTACCTAAGCAAGCCCTTAGTCTACTGAGCTATACCACCAGCCCTTCTTTTTTTCTTTTATATTATTCAGAGTGCTTAAGGCTGTCTGATGTGCATGGTGCAACGCCAATGAATAACAAACACAAGCACAGCGGTGGAGGCTGTTCAAGGCAGATGCTGAAGTGTGAGCTTACCCTGAATAGCTGGACCCCAGGCAAACAGGTAATACCAACTCAAATGGAGATCAACAATTGTTTCGTCTCTGGGGACATTCACAGGGCGTTTGAACCTGCAAGTGACGCGATTATTCTCGAAAACTCCTTCTTCATCTCTGGCAGGATTTCTCTGAATCTCCTTCGCCCACTGGCCCACATTGTAAAAGTGCTGTATGCGGACCCTGCCATTGTCATCGTGGACGCAGGCCATGACATCATCACCACCCTGGTATGGAAAGGATTCAGAAGAAAAACAAACCAATTTTTTGTTTTGTAAGCTTTTCACTCAGAAGTACACATTCCATCACTTCTGTAATTTGAAATCCTACCAAAAATGATTTTATGGCCGGGGATATAGCTCAGTGGTGGTCAGATGCTGTTGATCTGCAACATCCTTAATGATAGCAACAATAATAATAATAGAGTTCTTCAAGCTAACCCAGGAAATTAATGAAACTCAAGGAAGGATATACAGAAACCCTGATTTATACCCACTTGGTCAGAAACACAGGTCCCAACTGATTTGCAATTGGCATCTTAAGTGAGTATAAGTCAGGCAGATATGAGATAATCAAAACATACAGTAAATATTTAAACTTTCAAATATTTTAAATTATTATAGTAAAAGACACATTGATATTACTCTCCTTCAAAATAGAGCTCCTTCTTTGAGCACACTAATAACATCCTTGTCCTGTTCTGCAGCACTTCTTGAGGCTTCTTTTATGTGCATCTGTCCACAGCAGCCTCAATGTCTTGAATTAATTCAAAAAGTTTAAGGAAATTTCTGTCAAATGAAAACATCACAGTGCATCCTCATTTAATTTTTTTCACCAGATATGACACCAAATGATTTCTGGCTCTTTCCCAAAGTCAAAATGACTGTGAAACTAATAGTTTTGAGTTGATTTAGGACACAGAGGCAGCCATGACAGTGTAACTAAAGACACTCTACTCTCTAAGGAGGATTTCTATAACCTTCAGAAAGTGGCAAGAATGATGGGGTAAATGTGATCAAAGCAAGGGGGAGGGCTGGCCAAATAGCTCAGCAGATTAAAGCACCTGCAAGCAGGCACAGGGGCCAAGGGTTCAATCCCTGGTCCTGCCCTGCCAGTGCTGCCCCCAGCCCCTGGGGCACGCAGAGACAGCAATTGAGACTGGGCATGATGAACACGCCTATAATCCCAGCTCTTAGGAGGCTGTAAATTGGCGGATCAGTACGAGTCCAATCTAGTAGTAAGACCCTGAACACCCTGTAAACCCATCCCTAAAATTAAAAAAAAGCAAGGGGGAGAATTTTGAGGGAGATTAATGGCAATAAGTCTTTTACTACAATAAGTTTTTAAATTTTAAATAGCCACCATATTTTTTTCATCATGCTTTTAGGGACAATAATTTATGCTTGTGCCCACATGTGTGTATGTGTGTGCACACATGTGCATATGTGTGTAAAGGGTGCTGGCCCTTTGAATCATTAAATTCCTTCAGAGTTGGTTTTTTGTTTCAGTTAAGGCCTTTCAGAGGATTGAGCCAGCCAGTTACTCTGACTTGATCTTTTTAGGTAAGTTAAACATTGCTCTTTATAATACTCTCTCTGCCCAAAGGTGTCCCACTAGTCATTTGTTATAACATGTAATGTATGTACCTATTTCTACATATAATAACAAATCTGTCCCATCTGAATATGCAAAAGATTTCCCAATAAAATCTCCTTGTTTTCTTTGTTCAAGAAGACACTACTTTGGGAGTTATCCCTAGAGCTTTTTCTTTTTTGCTGCAAGTAATACATCTTCACTCTTATTTCCTGGTTGTGCTTATCTGCTTTGTGCTCATCAGGGGGTAAACCATTCCATTTGGTTTCACAGGGACAGACTGACTCTTAATGAGTGGGATCTGATGCTATCAGGAAGGAACTGAACTGGAGGACACTCCGTTGCTGTCCATTGGAGAAGTGCGGGCACATAGTGAAGAACCACCACACTTGTGTCACAGACGTGCTCAGCGTTGAGCGTGTGAATAAAAGGGAAAAATCAGTTGGTATTCAATGTCTCTTCTTCCATGAAAAGAACATGCTTTGATAGCATATTCGAGACTGACTAGAGAAAACCGGAACCCAAACCATGGACTGCCACCACATACAGCTGAGCCCAACCAAGGCACACATGTGAACGAGAAATACTGTAAATGCTTTCTGCTTTTAGATGTGCAGTTCTAGAGGTACTTCCTGCAGCGTTACCATGGACACAGTATCTAACTACAGTTCCATAAGCCACTTTATATTCTGATAACCAATCTTTCCACTTAAGCTAGATTTTATTATTTTATTTATTTATTTATTTGGTACAGGACAGTGATCCTCCTGTCTCCGCCTCTCTAGCACTGGGATTGTAGGTATGTGCCATCACACTAGGTTTTAGTGGATGACACAGCTCACCCAGGGTTCTGGGGCCAGGATAGCATGCAGTGCCAAATCAGGTCCTCATGCTTGCCAGGTAGGCACTTAGATGACTAAGCTTTGTCCCCAGTCCCTATTATTTTATTTTGTACTTGGGACTAAACCCAGGGTCTCATACATGCTAGGTAAGTAACCTATGCATAAGCTTTTAAAAATGTTTATTTTGAGACAGATTCTTGCTAAGTTGTCCAGGCTGGTCTCCAACTTGCAATCATTCCTGCCTCCTGAGTACCTGGGGTAATAGGTATGTGCTTTATTTTTTTTTTTAAACCTGCAGTAAAAGAGATGTAACTAACATAATAATTATACCTCTTTGATCAATTCATTTGCCTCTCACAATGTAAAAGAGCACAACAAACAAAAAAGAAAAGCCTGTTTCTAGCATGATTTGCATCTTACCATTTTCTTGTCTGAAGAGAATCCAACTGCTACCCAGCCATCTGTGTCTGCACTCAGCTCAAATTCCACATCAGCCCCTATTATCCGGTAGCTAAGGAAGTAGTCACAGGTCTCCGCATTACAGCCTGGCTTGCCGTATCTAGAGGATACATCAGAAGAGACATTGGCACTTGCGCTTGTTAAATACAGTAGGAGAGCATCTACTATGCATTGAAGAGTATGCTAAGAAATATTATTAAACATTAAATCTTTGCTTCTTGGGATCTCAAAAATACAGTTTCACCCAGGGACCTTAGCAATGATCTGTTCTACTTTATCTACATAAAAAATGAGGCCCAAAGAAGAGAAAGGGCTTGGTCCGGGTTGCCTAGGGAAGTCTGTGGCAGCAATGGCAATCAAATCTAGGTCTCTACACCCCAATGTTCTCGGCATGACGTTAGAGTTTCTTAAACTTCAGTTACTACTGGAGGAAAAAGAAACTTAAAGTGGCCCATTTTCAAGACAAAACAGCTAAACCCCAAGTAGCAAATACTGCTTGACAACGTTCATGCACTTGTAGGATGGCTGGGTAGACAGGACCTTGAGGGAAAGATAGCAACAGTAAACAAGCCTTTGTAGAATGGAGGCATGGTGGGGGAGGGAGAAGAAGAGCGGAGTCTTCTAGATAAAGCTAAGCAGAAAGAGTTACATTGCAAGGTCACATGAAATCACTAGTCAGGCACATGGGCTTCCCAGAGAGCTCTACAGTAAAGAACAGAGTACGATGAAGGAATCCAAACTTAAATTGGGAGGGAGGCCAGGAAATTATCTTACAAAGAGGCGATGAAACATTAGGTGATGGCTGGGGAAAGACTGTGCCTCCCTTTCTACCGGGCCGTGAAGAGCAACAGGAAGGACTCCTGTGTGCTGGAGTTTAAAAGGCCTGGTGCAAGGGCTTTGCTCGTGCCTGTCCATCAGGCATGCAGGCTTGCAAGGCCGGCTGCATTAATGCTTCGCTTTCATTTTCTCCCTGCCTCTGGAGTCCATTCTTCAGATGTGTGAATGCATTTCTCACATGACTGAATTATTTTTGAATATCTTCTGGGGGAAAAGGGATTTGTTAAGAATTTACATTTTTTTGTGAATTCAATGTGTATCACTCTTTTTACTTAAAAATATCACAAAATTCCTAGTTAAAATGTCACAAAACTTAAAATTATATATAAGTCAAATTAAAACCAAGGATCACTGAAACTCACAACATTCGTGTCATGAACCCTCCTCACACAGCCAGTGGCTGAGGAAAGGCCCGTGTCAATGGCACCCCACCCTGGAATGGAGAGCGCGAGAATGCCCTCGGCTTCAGGGCGGCCTGAGCGAGAACACTGAGCAGCCATCAGAAAATGCCGTAACCTTGCTGAAGTCACAAAGGACCAAGGGCCCTGGACCAGCGTGGGCTGCATGCAACTTACATGCTACCTTGAGAAATAAACACATTTGTTAGCTTTCAATTTATCCGGCTTGCAGTTCTACAAACCTAAAGCATCCCTTGGTTTTTCCACAGTCTTCTACTTTGATTTTGGCAAACGGATCCACAGGAGGAGCGGTGGGGAAAGGGTAACCTGGCAGGAAGAATAAGAAATGGTGAGAAGATCCAGCAACAGCTCTTCCAAGGAGCTTTTCTTGAATGTGCCGCCTATTTTCTATGGCACATGTCTAGCAATGTTTGGGGACTTCCAGAAGGATTCTAACTGATTGAGCCTTCATGAGGGAAGAACATGGACTCACTCCTTCAGATTCAGACGTAGGAAGGATCTGGGAGTGGATGGGTCTGTTTCTCATTTTACAGTCAAGGAACAGGAGACACAGGGTGGAGCATAATTCCATACCACCACTGTCGCTTGGTAGTTTTAAAATCAGTTTTAATACAGTGTCCATGCTCTAAAGAAAAAGAAGACACTGACAATGATACACTAATGTTCTTGATAGTAGACTTTTTCCACTTAGGTACACAGAGTTTTCCATTCCCTTTCCCAAATCTGCTATCTTGCTTAAGCAGTAGCATTTCCACATGTCTCTAAAGCCCTCAAAGAGAATTCCAACATCTGTGTACATTTCTTATGAGATCACTGGCCACCATAATGTGCCAAGCTACATACTGAAGAACAGGCTGCCTTCTGGCTTCAGTTTATAACAGAAATCCTTTTCACCTGGGCTGTTAATCGCACGTACACAGGTCCCATGTATGTTCTCTTCCAAGTACAAAGTTTGGCACTGGACACTTACATATGTAAGTGATTGTCAAGTGATAAAATCACCTACAGATATTAGGTAATGTAAATAAGCTTGAGGAAAACAGTGCTCTTCGCAATGATTTTGAAGTATTCTGTGACTTGTAATGCTTTTTAAATTAAGTTTTGTTTTATTTTGTTCCATTAGATTTATTATACATTAGGGATTGGAGATAGAGCTCAATGGTAAAGCATGTTCTTCGTATGCTTAAGGCCCTGTGTTCAATTCCTATCCCTGCAAAGAAAAACAAAACAAAACAACAACAAAAAGAAAGAAAGGAAAGGAAGGGAAAAGAAAGGGTCTCTAGGCTAGTTTGCTGGCACACCTGGTGCCTTCAGAGTACCTCTATGATGCCAGACCTTGAGCACATGACATGACTGTCACCACCCCTAGGTAACTGGGTCACACACATTACTTTTTCTAGTTCTGTGCTTATTTTGCACTACAACCTGCACTCTCTTCAGTATACAGACTGAATCTGGCTCTGGATGAGGTTTTTGTTTTGCTCTTACTATTTACTGAGCAACTTTTCAATGCTGCAAACCTAGGTGAAGCATCTTCATGTGTGTTCTTCCTCTTCTGTCTCACAATCCTGAGGACATTTTCTTTCTCAATGTATTTATCCAGGAATGCAATGACTGTGGGCTCTCTGTATTTAATTCTGCAGGTGACTGAGAAAATCTCTCTTAATGCTGCTTCTTGCTTAGGTTTCCCATGCTCTAAAGCAAAGAAAAAAAAAACTGATGACACATTTGTGTATTTGATAGTAGATTTTTTTCACTTGTGTACATAATAGGATTTTTCCATTCTATTTCTAAAATTACAAAGGGACATATGGCCCTGATTAGCATGAACTGCATGTAATTTTTACTTTGAAAAGTAAGCACATTTCAAACACATGCTCACTACTTCCTATCTTATAGACTAATACACTGGCATATGATAGCTATCCATAAATGCCAGTTCATGGGGGTGCAGCTCAGTGGTAGAGCATTAGACTGAATAAATGCCAGTTGTGATTACCACTGGATCAGTCTTACTACTAAGTTTTATAAATTGGACTGAGAACTAAAAATCGCTGGGTAAGCAAAACAGATATCTAATCTCCAAATAAAAACAAGTTTTAGAAGAAAGCTCAAATAAATGTTCTGAACTAAGGTATCAGTGCTGGCCAATAGCTTCTCCGGCACTAATTTTCTATCATCATGTAGGTTTCTAAAACTTGGAATGAGAACTTGTATTCTGTTAAATGCACCTGTGCAACCCTTTAACAATAGGTTGAACTCAGGGCTTCCAGCTTGCTGGATAGGAAGGTCTTTGTTACTCAAAACCTGTTTGAATCACACCTGAATGTGCAGAGATGAAATGACTCAGAATGGGAAGTGGTCACCAGAAAAACCCATCATGTGATTACAGGTTTAGGGCCTGCAGCCTGTCCCTCTTTGGGAGAAGGGAGGCAGGAGACTGGGTTCAACCACATGGCCAATGATTAAATCCATCATGCCTAAATAACAAAGGCCTGGGGCCAGTGAGATGGCTCAGCGGTGAAAAGTGCCCACAAAGGGAAGATTAGGCAGGCACAGGGGACCGCATTTAGTTCCCCAGCACCACATGCTGTGCCAGCCCCACCCTCAGGGTGGGCTGAGCTGGCCAAAAAAAAAGAAGAAGAAGAAGGAAAACCTACATATTGAGGGCAGGGGAGATAGCTCAGTAGAATAAGCACTTGCCTGGCAAGTGCAAGGGCCTGAGTTCAATCCCCGGTTCTGAAGAAAAAAAAACAAAAAACAAAAGACCTAATAAGAGCTCCGGACACTGAAGCTCAGTGGGCCTTCCTAGATGAATACAGGAAATGTTGGGAGTGTGACACGATGATTCCACAAGAGACCACATGAAGTCTGCCCTCGGGGTCCTGCCAGTCCTCACGCTATGCTTCTCTCCGTGAGCCGGTGCAGGGCTGCCTCCCTCGTGCCCACACTGCAGTTGTGAGCATGCTGCTTTCCTGAGTTCTACAAGGCAATCCAGCAACTCATGCAGCAGGAGTGGAAGGAAGCCCCTGCAGTCATAGCTGGTTGGTTTGAGGTGTGGGCAGTCTTGCTGGGGGCCAGGACCTTTAACTTGTGGAGTACACATTAACTCTAATTAGTACCAAAATAAACTGTAGCGCACTAATGGGATGTGGTATTAGAATACTGCACAGCAATTTTACATTCTTGCTGAAATTAAATGATCCCTCAAATTTGAGTAGAAAGTAAGTTTATACCATGTGCCGGTATCTATATTCTTGTCTTCTGGCTACAACCCAGCCTTCCCGAGCCTGAGTACTTGCACACCCCTCCTCCTTTGCCAGCTGCTGAGGCCATGCCAACAGAAGGCATTCAAGGGAGACAGGAGGAGGCAAGGGGGACTGTTCCTTCCTGTCAGATTGCTGTCCCGATATTTAAATCCTCAGGAACCCTGCTTCATCCTTGCAGTGGAAGTTGGCTTAGGTCCCCAGCTTTTTGCAAGACTCTCAGAACCAGCTTCCTCCCGCAGCTCAACAGGGCTGCAGCTGGGCAGAGCCCCATTCCCCACCATCAGTCACAACTATGGAGGCCCCTTGTCCGAGCTTGCAGATTCTGCTAACCCCAAACCTTTCAGTTTGCAACTCCTGAGTTGCTCTCTTCACTCCCTCAAACTCTTATAGAATTCCCTAGGCTGCTCATCCCTGTTTAAAAAGCTTAGTATAATTACTGTCTTCCTAACTGGAATATGACTGATAAACTGAATGGATTAATTCTCAAATATACAATGTATTTTCCAAGACTGTAGCTTATTAGCAGGTGTTATTTTGAAGGCTAGAGAATAATGCTATTCAATATTCATTACTCTGTTTCATATGCACTACACATTTCAAGTGGTAAATTGCTTCAACAAGCTTCTTTTGCTAGCCAGATGTGGTGGTACAGCCCTGTAATCCCAGCTACCTGGGAGGGCGAGGCAGGAGGATGCAAAGCTCAAGGCCAGCCAGGGCAAATGTCTCAAATAAGAGCTATGGATGTTGCTCAGTGATGCAATATTGTGTAGCACATGTGAGGCTCCAAGTTTAATCCTCAGTACAAAAATAAAAGGTGTTCTGACAGACACGCGCACCTTAGAAAAACAATGTTTTACTGTGATAAACTTACCACATTAGTAACAATGGAAATGAGACAACATGGGATTGAAAGGAAGTTCTCACCTCCATGAAGCACGGAATTCTACCTGCTCTCACTGGAAACAGCCCTTCGTCTTCTACACACCACCATCCCGAGCTTCTAGCACAACCAGGTGAGGTAAGGCAGTTGCCAAAACTGCTGGCAGCAGAATGTATATCTAAAATCCAGGTTCTCATAGCTCCTCACTGGGCCAGTGGAGCTATCATGCCACATTAGCTAACAAATGCACCACATGAGCTAGCCCATGGCCGCGCAGAGGTCCAGACCTGGGTCATACCCCACCCAAGCAGAATAGACTAACAAGGGCCTGACCCAACTTACTATTCACCATCTATGTTTATTTTCATGCGTGTGTTCCTAAAAAGTGTTTATGTATGTTACCAATCTGCATAAATGACACAATACAGTAAGTCTCATTTTGTCTAATATTTTCCTTTCAGAATCTACCTACATAGGTAAATCTAGGACCTCCTATTACTCCTGGCTGAATAGTATTCCCTGATGTATAATCATATTTTCTTAAGTATCTTTCCAGGTTAAGCCATTTTGGTTTCCTCCAGTGTTTACTTTGTCAAACAATAAAGAGACAAGCCTCCTTACCTATGTTTCCTTTTGGCATAGGCAAGAGGTATTGTTTTGTTTTAATAAGCCCAGGAAGCAAACTGACAGGTCACATCTTCAATTCCACTGAGGGGTGAATGAGATAGTGCTCAGCATAACATTCCAGTGTATGGTCTCATCAGTAGTGTGTGACTGTCACGGCTTTCCCACATGCACGGTTGTACTTGTACGATCATTTCCAAATTTTACTTTGAATTTTCCTGAGTAATGGTGGAGCCAACATTTTAAATATGTCAATTTTCCCTTCTGCAACATGTATTTCTAGCCTTTTTATCCAGTGTGTTATCTGAGTTTTGATCTTTTTCATGAGAATTTAAGAAATGTAAGCATTTAAGAAAACTGTGGGCTTCCAATGTTGCCATTTTTTCTCCCAGTCTGCCACCACTTTAGTTTTTTATTTCTCTTTCGTCTTGGATTCAAATCTTTGAATTTGATGTGTTAAGACAAGCATTTTTCTTCTTTTGGTGATGCTTTATAGGGTGTCTTGTAAGACATTACCCTCTACTCCAAGGACA